TCATTATCAGAAAAGGGTTGTCAGAAATCCCAGGAATAATTATTTTTAATTTCAAATTGTAGATAAATAACAAATTAAATTTCATTGACTTTGCAATGAAGTCTTGGAACTTTATGTTGGCAGTTATGACACTTAGTGATGGAGTCACCAGTACTAATTTGTACTTAAAGTGCTACTTGAATGAAAATGCCCTTATTCAAAACTTCAAGCAATACAAATATATGACTCATTTATAACTAATAAAAACACTTGTGGGAAAATATTTGTTTTGGAATTATCCCACATCAGATAAATTTTAAAAACAATTGCGGAAAAATATTTGTTTTGGAATTATCCCACATCAGATAAATTTTGATTCAAAAGATGGAAGAACAAAAGGATGGAGTAAATGACGTCATTTACTCCAACATTTTTTGCTCAAATTATTAAGGATTTGTATCAATATCTTCTTGGAATCTGTTGCTTCATGATTATTAGACCCACATGGATAGGTCTATTTGATTTCCAAGTATTTTCTAATGTTTTGCAGTTTTCGTCCTAGTAGCCCTTTAACTTAATACTTAATGTATTGTTTTTGTAGGGTGTATCAATTCCTGACATAATTGAAGGCTATGAGCAAGCATCTAAAAAAGCACTAGAATTATTAGAAGGTTAGAAGATGGTAGTTGTGTTGGTGATCATTACGTTTGTGGATTGAACATTTTACTATTATAATAAATTATTATGTCACTCCACTTATGGTAAATCAGCCTGTCAGTTATTCACACAGTCAATCATTCAGTTAGTTGTTCAATCAGTTCAGTCATGACCATTCAATCCATCACCCAGTCTTTTGGTCAGTGAATAATACCTGTAAGTGAGGAAAAAGGTTTCTATCATTGCATTGCATATATGTATTCACTAGTTGTCTCACTTTGATGCAAAGGTACAGATAACTTTAAAGGTGGCCTTTCAAGTCTCCTTGCATGATACAATTGTACTTTCATACAGTAYTTTTTTTGTAATACTGTAATATTTTTGTTTCATTCAGATTTAAGCTGTTCGTCTCTTGAGAAATTAAATGATGAAGCAGAAGTTGTTAAAGCAATAAAAACAGCTGTAGCAAGTAAACAGGTGACTTATTGTCATATTATAACCATAAACAAAGGGTTTAGGGGCAAGAGAGGAGATTAACATCATTTTGTCTTCTTACTTTTAGTACGGCAATGAAGACTTTCTCTCAGAGTTGATAGCTCATGCATGTGGTAAGTGTCATGCCTAAYCCTTGGAACATGCTCTGCCACTTGAAAAAAAAAACTAACCTAGGAATCTAAATAAGATAGTGCAAAAAAAAAAACAACAACAACAACAAAAAACACTAATATGGGGTGGGGGGCAGAGGGTTTGGCCAGTAAACTCCACCTGTTACCATAAGAAAATCCATCTCCTTTAAAACAGTCATGCTTTAATTCTTGTCTCATTTTCACCAATCATACTTTA